AATAGGCCTGTAAGATGAGCATGACTCCGGGTTTTTATCAATGTTATATTAGCCTGGTGCATAGATTCTGGGAGTTTTGATTCTTTGAATGCTTTATTAAAAACCCTTAATAATAAGCTATTTAACTTCACTTTCATTAGCTTAAATTCTACTGGGAAGTCATCTGCCCCAGGACGTTTCCCTGACTGCAGTGCAAATATAGCTTTATCCACCTCCATCAGTGTTATGGGTGACTCCAGCAGGCTAACCTGATCTTCAGAGAGCTGAGGGAATACGAAGTCGAGTTAAGCCTTATGTCCATCTCAGACTGGTATAAATTTGTATAGAATTCTCTGAAGCACTCTCTAACTGCCTTGTTAATCGTTGTTTTCTTTTATGACTTTTGTATGAAATAATTATCCCTCTCATGTAAACCTCATAACTATCCCATAAGGTTCTCAGGTCTATCTCCTCTGTAGCATTTATTTCTAAAAATAATGTTTGCTCTGTTATGAAATGTATACATTTCTCATCCAAAAGGGACAGTGTGTTCATCTTCCAAGACATGAGGCGCTCAATATGTCTCATGGGTTGAATGGTTAGGAGTGTGGTCAGAGAGACCTATATGACCAGTATTTACTTGCTGAACCAACTGACTGATACACTGACATAAAAATATAATCTATACGCGATGCTGACAAGTGAGGGTTAGAGTGGAAAGTGTACTCCTTAGATAATGGATTATAGTGTCGCCAGACGCCCATGAGGTCAAGATCATTTACAGTTTGCCAAAGGGCTTTGGAATTTTTTGTCAAAGTAGATTGTGGGGGAAGTTTATCCATTTAGGGCATAAAACACAGTTAAAGTCACCCACTAATATTATATTAGCACAGTCCATGTCCACTAATTGACTAAATAATACCGTGTAAAATTGGCGATCCTGTGCATTCGGCGCATATATATTACCTAGGAGAACAGTTTCCCCATGCAACTTCCCTTTAACCAAAAGATATCTTCCTTCATCGTCCTTGTGAGTGGCTGTAACAGTGAAGGGAAGGTTTTTGTGTATAAGGGTAATAAACCCCCTTTTATTTGTCGAGTAGGATGAAAAAAAATTGGACCAACCCATTCTCTGCAGTATTTTTTATGTTCATCATCTGTCAGATGGGTTTCTTGCAAAAAAGCAACATGAATCAAGTCTTTCTTCAGAGAATTTAGAATTGACTTTTCACCACATTGTTGGACCCTTTAACATTCCAGTGCTTATCTGACATATAAGAAGAGTAATATATATTTTGTGCTGTTTACATATTTAACCAAATCTGCATTTGACCAGTCTGAACCTATCAACCAAAATAATTGCGCATAAAACAAGAACACTGGTTCCCAGTAAAACCTGAACACAAAGCCTGGAAACCTCAACTCTCCCCAACACAAATAACACAAAGTAAAATAAAATAAATTACACATCTAGATGTACCCTGCTCTAAAGTACAGCTGTAGGGGGATACAGACACGTACCATCCCCACACCGGAGTGTCAAAAATCAAAGTATGCTCTGTACCTTAGCTCGTTAACAGTACTGTAATGCTGTAAGCCTCGAGTTTGTAACTTACGTTACAATGACACTGTCGTGCACCAACAGTTTATTTAGGTCTTGGCAATTTGTTCACATAGTTCTTGACGTCCTGGATGGTCGCGAAGGAGATGCTGGTGCCATCGGGGTTAAATATTTTAATGATGGCTGGATAAAGGAAGGAATATTTGATCCCCGCCTCTCGGAGAGCTTTACGCGCATTCACCGACTCCTTTCTCTTTCGTGTCACGTCGGCGGAGAAATCCTGATAGAAGGACACTTTTCCTGCCTTTAGCGGTACCTTTAGCCCTGGCAGCCTGGAGAATCTTCTGTGTGTAGTAATGAAGCCGGACCAGTACTGCACGCGGTCCCTCCGTGCTGGTAAGCCTCATCGGTGGTCCAGTGCGATGGGCTCTATCGACTGTAATGGCACCCTGCTGAAGGCCCAGGACTTCTGGTATCCACTTTTTAAAAAAGTCCACTGGTGCTCCACCCTGCGCGCCTTCTTTTAGCCCGACAATCCTCACGTTCTCCCGCCGGCTCTGATTCTCAAAGCTTTCCAGACGCTCCGTGGCCTTCTTAAGCTGGGTCTCGAGAGCGGCAATATGTGGCTCACTTGTAGCCGTGACATCTTCCAAGTCCGAGGCCCGCTGCTCCACTGTTCCCATTCTTTCTATCAGATTGTCGCATTTCTCAGTGAGCTCGTTTATTGGCTTTATGACTTCGGATATCTTGCTGTCCAATATTTTTGAAATGTTAGAAGTCACCGTGTGCACGATCACATCATCCCGCGGTGCACTTAGTGCATCCTCAGCGTCGCACATGGTCTCATTTTCAGGGCTATTGCTGGCTACTGTGTCACTGCTAGCTTTCGCTTTGACTCCTCGTTTGCATATTTCTCTCTGCTTGAATCGAAGGTGTGCTAAAAACTCGTCTAAAGACATTATATAAACATTCGAGGCAATTTGTTGGCAAAATGAGCTAAAATACTAATATTTTACAGCTGGCCAGTGCAGAGCTCATAAACTCACATCTGCTCACATCACATGACACATCACGTGGTTAATAGGTTCAGACCGGTCAATTAATCCATTGTAAATACATAGGAGCAGGTTTTCAGGTTTGTCCCTCCACCACATTCAATAATCTAAAGATTGGCATCTTAATGAAATGCCTGGCTGTTGGGCTTGAGTAAGAAATCACACGTTTCCTGTGATAAACAGTTTAAAGGTACAGAGGTGAGCATCAAAAGCTCACATTTCCTTTGTAATCCACTAAACACACGAGCTGTATAGTTGTTCTGTGACTGTACTTCACTTTCTAGGTTTTATGATGATTAAACACGCGTCATTGGTGACATGCAGGTGGGAACAAATTACAGACCACAGTGAAGATGGAAGATTCCAGGGCAGAGGCCAAAGTCGAGGCCTCGAAGCCTGTCGCAGCCTCTTCAGGGTCCCAGGAACCCAAGACTGACATTCCAGATCTTTCCACATCATCCCTTGCTGTACTGCAGAGTGATGTTCAGCCTGTTGGCCATGACTATGTTGAAGAAGTGAGTTCATACGTGGGTCATACGTGGGAACAATGCAGGAATTCAAACTTGGAGTGTAATGTGTTGTTTTCTTTTCCAGGTCCGCAACGATGAAGGCAAAGTCATTCGCTTCCATTGCAAGTTGTGTGAATGTAGTTTCAATGATCCAAATGCAAAGGAGATGCATCTAAAAGGTCGCCGGCATCGCCTGCAGTACAAGGTTCGTCTTCAAGCACTTCCCCAAATTAACAGCTGACAGCAGGAAATGCTCTTTTGATAAATGTGTTCCTATCATACACATCTGAGGGAAAGCCGTGCCCTGATCCCGTCTGTGTTTGAGCACAGGTGAACTGAGCTAAACTCACCTATCTTCACATACAGTGTTGTGCAAGAAGTCACTTTGTTATTTTTTACTTTCATTCAGCCAGACTGTAGCAGCTTCTCCTCAGTGATGACAGGGCACATTTTCCTGCCACACACTGTACTTTATTTACTTCACTCCCCTTACACAGGCGCTCAGACGGCATGCCCTGCTTCGTCACGTCGCACACGCTCCTCTGGTCGTGCCCCGTTGTACTCGATGCTTTTCAGAGCCTCTCTCAAGGATGGAACCATTGTTGTCCACACAAAAGACAACTTGGCAGACAACTAATTTTAAACTGTATCTCACAGCACTTTGTTACAGTATCATCATGATGTCGTCCCTCGTGGCATATGGTCAGCCTTGGGGCACAGCTGCTTAGCCTTACGTTTATAACCGGTCGAGTTCTTGATTGCAGTTTTTGTTTTGTAGAAAAAGGTAAACCCAGACCTCCAAGTAGAAGTCAAACCCAGCATTCGAGCCAGAAAGATCCAGGAGGAGAAGATGAGAAAGCAGATGCAGAAAGAAGAGTATTGGAGAAGAAGAGAAGAGGAGGAGCGCTGGAGAATGGAGATGAGGTATGGCTATGATCTTG